GCGTTTCATTGTAAAAGCGAAACTACTTTGTTTGGCCTTCAAAAAGAGAACGCTATCTGCTTCGTCATGCCTGGAGCTGATCCGTGCTGGTTGCTGGGAAAATACAACAACTTTGCGCTGAGGATCACCGGATCGGCTTTCACAGTGGAAGCGGAGTCCAGCCCGGGGTCGTCACATGTGGTTGCCGCAAGCCCTCCGGACGCTCCTTTGTCAAATCCGCCAGCCGCGCTGTTCTCAAGCCCACCGTCTCTGCTCTCTCTAGGCCGCTGCCTCTCACTCTAGGCCACCGTGTGTGACGCTGTGTTTCGTTGTGAAAGCGAAACTACTTTGTTTGGCCTTCAAAAAGAGAACGCTATCTGCTTCGTCATGCCTGGAGCTGATCCGTGCTGGTTGCTGGGAAAATACAACAACTTTGCGCTGAGGATCACCGGATCGGCTTTCACAGTGGAAGCGGAGTCCAGCCCGGGGTCGTCACATGTGGTTGCCGCAAGCCCTCCGGACGCTCCTTTGTCAAATCCGCCAGCCGCGCTGTTCTCAAGCCCACCGTCTCTGCTCACTCTAGGCCGCTGCCACTCACTCTAGGCCACCGTGTGTGACGCTGTGTTTCGTTGTGAAAGCGAAACTACTTTGTTTGGCCTTCCAAAAATGGACATGACTAGAAATCAGTGGTTAAAAACGTTTTTTATATTTAAAGCAAGTTTTTTGGGCAGTGTAGAGTAGGGCTTGTTGTTTGTCATTTCTCCGATCACAAATGCAGACATGGTTTCACATTTACGCGGTGCAACGCAACGCGTAAAAAGACAGTATAAGTCATCATAATCCATAATTATGTCCCCATTGGATGCAACAAATGCCTCGTTTATAATGGGTTTTCATGTTTGAATCATCGCTCCGGCCGGACAGGGCATCATAACAGTATGGTAGGGGCGTAACATTTCCGTCACACGCTTGAGGTATTCGGACAATCATAACGCACTGGATAGCTGGCCAATCACAGCACACCTTGCTTTTCAGACCGATGAGCTTTGTAAAAAATCGACGTGTTTCAGAAAGGCAGAGGCATAGAGGAGAAACAATAATGTACAGTATGTGGAAAAGAATGTTTTTCGAACCTTAAACCGCATAAACATTTCATTACACCAAATACACAAAATAATGTTCTTTTTAGCAACATCATATGACCCCTTTAATGTCCTAATAATTTTTGGCATAAAAGAAAAATCTATAATTTTGACCCATACAATGGCTATTGCTACAAATATACCTCAGCGACTTAAGACTGGTTTTGTGGTCCAGGGTCACAAATATACTTAGCTTTTACGGTTTCTGATCACAAGTATAGCCAAACATTGGAGCGTTTAGATTAGCAAGGAAGGTCCTGGCAGATTGCCAGGTCGGGTCTTCACAGATGGAAAAAAGGAAAAAAAATAAAATAAAAAAATAAACTAATTAAGATGTGCACACAGGAATCGATAGGCGGAATCGAATTTTAATTTTACAACAAAGTATCCAGTTACTGACCTTAAGTATCCGATTCTGGAATTGGAATCAATTTTCGATTCCCAACCCTAATCGTGGTTTGTGTTCACGTGACATTGCAGTTCTTCAACATCATGAAAGTTTATTACCTGGAAGCGTTTTAAACCCATATCAGTTTAAACTAGTGATTTATGGTTTTCTGAGCCCACGCATCTGAAGCATATGCACAGAAATTTGTTACGTCGCATCAAGTTCTAAACCAAGTTGTCTTTCGTGTCTTATTGCACTTAACACACAAAGTTCACAAACATAGTTGGTAATACCTGTGAACGTAAAAAGCTGGCAAAGAAAACATGTTAGATCTGTGTGACAGCAGCGTAACGTAGGCTATTGCGGTCTATGCTGTTTATTTGAAAATTAAAAAAAATAAATAAATGAAAACCCAAATTCACTTACTGCTCTTGACTGAATAAATTTAGCAGCTTTACAATAATTTGTTTCTTGAATGCTGATTTTAAAATGTCTAGCGAGGAGGTAAATGTGGTGGACTGTGTTCAGCTCACTCAGGGGAGAAGCTAAGCTAATAAGGCAGAGCTTGTTATCAGTCATGGGTGGGCCTGTTCCAATGAGACGTCACATTGGAGTACATTCCTGAATGGCTCATTTTGACACCATTTATGGGGAAAATAGACATTGTATGGATTTTTACCACAATAGCATGGTCGCGTACACGCACTGCAGACACAATTATGCTCAAAAACAATATATGTCAATTTTGCATAATATATCCCATTTAAGGTAAGGTACAGAGAGGTTAAACTAGTGTCACAAGATATACCAGCACTAGAAAAGTATCGCAATACCCCACGGTTGAAAACAATTCCTCATTTTAGTAGTACCCCAAAAAAATAGTACAGCAGGTGTAGCCCATTTAGCAGTAGCATTCAAGAAATTGAATGAACAAATACAAATACACACACACACAAGTTTTATTTTTGGGTGAACTATCCCTTTAAATGACAAGCGGCAGCATGTTTAGTACTATTAGTCTGCTGTCCCTTTAAGACCTGCATGCATCTAATATACAGGAACGCATCTATTTTTCTCACATTTTACTTTTACTTTAGACATAACAAACTGTGTTTATATGTAAACATTGTGTGCTTTTAACAGTATTCGCGCAATGAGACAAAAGATAACTTAATCCAGTAATGAGGCGTTTGACAGGCTTGGCTTCTTTCACACTGCGAGTCTTAGTGCTCAATTTTTGCTCAGATCTGATTTTTGTGTATAGCTGTTCACATGGTTATAAATGTAGCCAATATATGATTTGCAGTGTGAACAGATCATGGTTCTGAACTGACACACATGCACAAAGGGTTGCCAGGTTTTTACAACAAAATCTGCTCAATTGCTTCCCAAAACTAGTCAAGAACTAGTCCAATCGCATTCCGGGGGTAGCGTTAGTGGGGTCGCTTTAACCCACGGAAATGAAAAACAACCCACAGCAACAATGAAAAGGTAGCCCAATTCCATGGGAAAACTGAACTTGGCAACACTTGTGCAGCCCGCTGTCATATAGAAACACGTAAACACGGAGGACATAAAAGCGAATATGCATTTATTTATAGTGTGATCTGCACTCTGCAGCAGAAACCAACAAAATTATGCACAGGCAATATGAAAAATAAAGACAAGGATGTGACAAGAGAACAGTTTAGAAAGTTTTATGATACGAGCCCTCATGTTTTGCTTGTATATAGAATCACTGTAATACTTACGAGTTCTCACACGTCTCTATGTTTCCACTGACTACCTTTCACAACTGTCTTGATAACTTTGGGTATGTAAAATCTTTGAAGTGACTCCCATGAGCTTTTGAAGAATCATGACAAAAGTTGATCTAGAGTGACGTAAATTGAATTCCGATATGACCGTTCAGACTGCGGTCATACTGCAAAACATCTGACCTGTATCGGATTTAGTACAACATATGGAAGTGGCACAAATCGGAATCGAAAAGATCAGATTCCATGTGGTTTGTGCCATTCACGCGGTCATAAGAAACACAGATCTGAGTCACATGTGAGCAAAAAATAAATAAAAATTTGGATTTGGGCCACATTTGCCTGCAGTGTGAACATAGCCTTAGAGAGCACGTGCTTCAGGTGAACGCATTCAGAAAAAGCACATGTCAGAACAGCAAGCGAGTGAAATGATTAACTGGCAAGGCTTTAAAGCACATGCAAATAATGTACTTTTGTGATTGCGAATAAGTGCAATGTCCTGTGAGTGTAACTCTACCACGGAGTTAACATTTCATGTGAACCGGTCACGTTGTACAGTATATTGAGATGGAGGCGGCAAAACTGCAACTGATAGAATGTGCGCTGTAGCATGATACTACAATATTTCTTCAAATGCAGATTGAGGAGACATTTTAATCGTCCACGAACAAAAATCGTGATATCGCACACCCCTAAATTTGACTACTATTCCTTTTTTATTCACTCATATGTGTGTGCTGTCTGCTTGTCACAGAATAGCATGTGCAATTAAATGAAACGAGCGTGAAACTATCGTGTGCTATATCAAGCATTTTTTCTATCGTTATCGATGGTGTTCTCGCGATAATTTTTTTTTACGTTTTATTGACCAGGCCTACAACAAAAGATAATGAGAAAATCACTAAATCACTTTAGTAGCTAAAGTAAATAATCAGTGTATATTTAATACATGCAGTGAAGACTATGCAGTGTTTTTTTTATTACTTTATTCAATTTCTGCATTAGTTCTTACTTCAATTCGACCTGTACTAAAAAAAACTGAAGCATTGAGTACTTCATTTGTATCTTTATTTTATTGTGTGTATGCATGCATGCATATCTCATTATAAAATTAAAATTACTCCTATTGTGAAATAATGACCTATTTTGGTCATCTCTCACCCCAGTTCATGATTTCAAAAAGGCTTAAAGTAAAACAAGTGTGATTTGTTTGACTTTTTTCAATATTGGCATTTTTGATGAGGCAATTTAGGGCAGTAATAACTTTAATTTGGCTTTATTCTTTTAGCAAATTTGTTGCAAAGACCTACAATACCTGTAGGCTTGGATGGACCATAGACTGATTTTTGCTCATCTGATTTTTGCAAAAAAAAGAATAATAAGTTCTATGTTGGGTCATTCTATTCAGTTACATTTCCTGTCGTTTTAGGTCTTTGTTGTGGTCTCGAATCAGTATTGGCATCGTGATGTTTTAGTCAGGTATTGTATCAAAGCCCTAATTTTGGTATCATGAGAACAGGTGAGAACTTCTAAACCCTTTAGAAGTTTTTGCATAAACGGAACAGGATAGATCTATATAATTCAATTAAAAAGTCCAGAAATAAGCATAGCAAAAGGAAGAAAAAAAAAAAAGTCTGTCAAGGTGGCAAATTAATATTTGTAGCATGACATTTAAGGTACTGCTAAGAGAATATCTTACCTGTTTTAGAGCATAGCAGTCTTTGAAATCGATCCTCAGCAGCATTGACGGCCCATTATTCCTTTTGATACACTGACACTGCTTTTGTGAGAGTGAATCAGTCCAGTTGGTCTCTGCAAAAATAATTTGAAAATTTCATTTAAAGATTAAAAAAAAAATAATAATAATAATAATACAAAAAAACTGGAAGGTGTTGATAAATAGAATGCCACACTTGATATCTATATACTACATCACACCCATTCATTTTTCCTATATGGGATAAAAAAAAAAAAAAAGCCTTATTTGAAGCATTATAAGACAAACCAAACCAACCAGCTACGAGGTGAACCAAAACATTACGAACCTTTTTGAAGCAAGAAGTTACTCAAACCAGACAAAACGGCAAAAGGGACAAGACTGTATACTTAACGAATTTAATGAGCAAGAACTAAACATTTTGAAATTGTGACAATGAAATTCAAATTGATGGTGAAATATGAAACTGTTGAAGTTGTTCATTATATCCATAGAAACAATATATAAAAGTTTAAGAGCTCTTTTGTCAACATTTGCTCACCACAAATCTGATTGGAGAAATTCTGTACAGCTTTTTCTTTTCTGTACAACAGTTCACAAATTCTGCTGTTAAACTATTTAGAAATAAGTTGAAATAATGCTAACAAATGGCTTAATCAAGCACACATACATTTGATTAACAATCCCGGAGCTCACAACAGGTTTATAAGTTACCATCAAAACTCAATTTGCCTGAAGAAATGGATGGAGGTTTTACTTTTGGAACCTCACTGTTGCACTTCTATACTTCATTTAGCATCTAGCTGGACTGCAATAACGAGCATTAACTTTTGACAGGAATGAAAATAAGGCTGTGAGGGTACAACAGATTATTCAGCTGACAAAACATCTTTCGAAAAGACAGGGTCAGGGCTTAAATACAAAAAACCAAAAAAAACTCAATCCATTCACTCAGAGCAGAATTAATATTTCAACATTTTGGTTCATGCATTCCTTCTGTATTATCACGTTGTACAGTATATTGAGATGGAGGCGGCAAAACTGCAACTGATAGAATGTGCGCTGTAGCATGATACTACAATATTTCTTCAAATGCAGATTGAGGAGACATTTTAATCGTCCACGAACAAAAATCGTGATATCGCACACCCCTAAATTTGACTACTATTCCTTTTTTATTCACTCATATGTGTGTGCTGTCTGCTTGTCACAGAATAGCATGTGCAATTAAATGAAACGAGCGTGAAACTATCGTGTGCTATATCAAGCATTTTTTCTATCGTTATCGATGGTGTTCTCGCGATAATTTTTTTTTACGTTTTATTGACCAGGCCTACAACAAAAGATAATGAGAAAATCACTAAATCACTTTAGTAGCTAAAGTAAATAATCAGTGTATATTTAATACATGCAGTGAAGACTATGCAGTGTTTTTTTTATTACTTTATTCAATTTCTGCATTAGTTCTTACTTCAATTCGACCTGTACTAAAAAAAACTGAAGCATTGAGTACTTCATTTGTATCTTTATTTTATTGTGTGTATGCATGCATGCATATCTCATTATAAAATTAAAATTACTCCTATTGTGAAATAATGACCTATTTTGGTCATCTCTCACCCCAGTTCATGATTTCAAAAAGGCTTAAAGTAAAACAAGTGTGATTTGTTTGACTTTTTTCAATATTGGCATTTTTGATGAGGCAATTTAGGGCAGTAATAACTTTAATTTGGCTTTATTCTTTTAGCAAATTTGTTGCAAAGACCTACAATACCTGTAGGCTTGGATGGACCATAGACTGATTTTTGCTCATCTGATTTTTGCAAAAAAAAGAATAATAAGTTCTATGTTGGGTCATTCTATTCAGTTACATTTCCTGTCGTTTTAGGTCTTTGTTGTGGTCTCGAATCAGTATTGGCATCGTGATGTTTTAGTCAGGTATTGTATCAAAGCCCTAATTTTGGTATCATGAGAACAGGTGAGAACTTCTAAACCCTTTAGAAGTTTTTGCATAAACGGAACAGGATAGATCTATATAATTCAATTAAAAAGTCCAGAAATAAGCATAGCAAAAGGAAGAAAAAAAAAAAAGTCTGTCAAGGTGGCAAATTAATATTTGTAGCATGACATTTAAGGTACTGCTAAGAGAATATCTTACCTGTTTTAGAGCATAGCAGTCTTTGAAATCGATCCTCAGCAGCATTGACGGCCCATTATTCCTTTTGATACACTGACACTGCTTTTGTGAGAGTGAATCAGTCCAGTTGGTCTCTGCAAAAATAATTTGAAAATTTCATTTAAAGATTAAAAAAAAAATAATAATAATAATAATACAAAAAAACTGGAAGGTGTTGATAAATAGAATGCCACACTTGATATCTATATACTACATCACACCCATTCATTTTTCCTATATGGGATAAAAAAAAAAAAAAAGCCTTATTTGAAGCATTATAAGACAAACCAAACCAACCAGCTACGAGGTGAACCAAAACATTACGAACCTTTTTGAAGCAAGAAGTTACTCAAACCAGACAAAACGGCAAAAGGGACAAGACTGTATACTTAACGAATTTAATGAGCAAGAACTAAACATTTTGAAATTGTGACAATGAAATTCAAATTGATGGTGAAATATGAAACTGTTGAAGTTGTTCATTATATCCATAGAAACAATATATAAAAGTTTAAGAGCTCTTTTGTCAACATTTGCTCACCACAAATCTGATTGGAGAAATTCTGTACAGCTTTTTCTTTTCTGTACAACAGTTCACAAATTCTGCTGTTAAACTATTTAGAAATAAGTTGAAATAATGCTAACAAATGGCTTAATCAAGCACACATACATTTGATTAACAATCCCGGAGCTCACAACAGGTTTATAAGTTACCATCAAAACTCAATTTGCCTGAAGAAATGGATGGAGGTTTTACTTTTGGAACCTCACTGTTGCACTTCTATACTTCATTTAGCATCTAGCTGGACTGCAATAACGAGCATTAACTTTTGACAGGAATGAAAATAAGGCTGTGAGGGTACAACAGATTATTCAGCTGACAAAACATCTTTCGAAAAGACAGGGTCAGGGCTTAAATACAAAAAACCAAAAAAAACTCAATCCATTCACTCAGAGCAGAATTAATATTTCAACATTTTGGTTCATGCATTCCTTCTGTATTATTACGGTTCCGAAACCGGTTAGAGTAGGAAAAAAAAATACCGGTTTATAATGTTTTTTTTCCTATGCTTAACAACAAGTGTTTTCATCATGCTGGCATCTGCCATCTAGCCATAACTAATACGGTTTCTTTTATAACAAGATTTCAGCTAAATTACTAAATGAAAGGAAAAACTGAAATAAAAGTTAAGATATTTAAAAACTGTTTGCTGCATGGTTAAACTGGAAAACATATTTAACTTTTTCGGCCTCTTATTGCTACCAGTCACAACTTTTTTTGGAATGTGTAGCTCTCATGAAATCCAAAATGAGCCAATATTTGGCATGACATTTCAAAATGTCTCACTTTCAACATTTGATATGTTATCTATATTCTATTGTGAATAAAACATAAGTTTGAGATTTGTAAATTATTCCATTCCTTTTTTACTCACAATTTGTAGTGTCCCAACTTTTTTGGAATTGGTTTGTGTGTGTGTGTGTATATATAGCTTGCCTCGATAGACGGTGCTGACGGTGATACCGGTGTTAAGCCGCAACACTGGTTATGTCACTTGCCCACCGCGTCACCGACCCCCACTGTCGTTTAGATTTTTTTTATAGTAATAAAAATAATTCAGTTCAGTAAAAGAATAGACACTACAATTAAAAACTGAACGCGGCTGCTCAATGCAGCGTGCTGAACGTCACATTACAGATCAGATTTCATTTCTTCAGTGAGGAGAGGGAGTCGAGCTGACTGACAAGAAGAGTGGATGATTTAGTTTCGAAACGAGATGCAAAAGCACCTGTTTGGCAATATTTTGGATTTTGAAAAGCCTGTTGACTTTTGCCGTTTATCTAACGTGATTTTGGAAGTTTTTTTTAAAGGGGTCATATGACGTTGCTAAAAAGAACATTATGTTGTGTATTTGGTGTAATGCAATGTGTTTATGCGGTTTAAGGTTCAAAAAACACATTTTCCACATACTGTACATTGTTTCTCTATGCCCCGCCTTTCTGAAACGCATCGATTTTTACAAAGCTCATCATTCTAAAAAAGCAAGGTGTGCTCTGATTGGCCAGCTATCCAGTGCGTTGTGATTGGCCGAATGCCTCAAGCATGTGATGGAAATGTTACGCCCCTTACCATACTGTGATGCCATCTCCCAGCAGGACGAGACTCAGTCCAGCTGCTCTGCTCATGCACATCCCATCATCATCATTCTCTTTTAGCAGTTCGGTCAATGTACTGTTAGGAGTAACTGAATAACTCAGGATATTGGTTTATTTTCGCATCAGAGAGAGTGTCAGGCACATTTATAAACCGAATAACTTAAGTAATTTGTGGATTAGTGTGTACTGGAGAACACAAGTATCTTAATGTTGTTTGTGTATTATACTTTCATTATTACAAGCAGGCCAACAGCGCCCCCTAAATAAATAAAAGAACTCGCCGGATTTTTGCTGCTGAACACGCTAATGACTGTTGACTCTCACACACCAGAACGAGTCATTATGTGCTTTCTCAAATTAAATGCAGTGCTCCAAAACAGTGAATCTAATTACCATTCAGGCAAAAGTTTGCTTCAAGAATGACCACACTGCTGATGTGATCTTATCGCTAGCACACTTTGAGCACATGCGAGTTACGCATATCAGCATAATTTTTCATATCGGATTCTTACAGTTTAAACATTTATCTGCCGATTCCGATAATATTCTGATAATATCGTGCATCCCAGGAAAAGTGAAGCCAAAAGGTTATGGGCGTGGTCATCTTGTGCCAATGACGTCATATGGAGCCTGAGTCTGTGCAGTAGTGATCATGAGATGGGGCCGCGGTATGAAAGTCCCACCCAAACTCCCGCAGACAGAATTGCAAACACACAATCATGATGCAACACCCCATTTTTAATAGCACTAAACTAAAAGCAAACTCATTCGAAAAACTTGAACAAAACTGTCAATAATAGTTAAAATGGGGAAATTAATAATTGCATTGCAGGCCGATTTTTGCAACACCCCATTTTTAATAGCACTAAACTAAAAGCAAACTCATTCGAAAAACTTGAACAAAACTGTCAATAATAGTTAAAATGGGGAAATTAATAATTGCATTGCAGGCCGATTTTTGCAACACCCCATTTTTAATAGCACTAAACTAAAAGCAAACTCATTCGAAAAACTTGAACAAAACTGTCAATAATAGTTAAAATGGGGAAATGAATAATTGCATTGCAGGCCGATTTAAGTTGTGCCCCTAAATTTTCTGCTTGTGCTCCTAAAATGTGCAGTAAAGAGCTACAGTGCTCCTAGTTTAAAAAAAAATAAAAAATAAAGTAGTCTGGAGCCCTGTAAGGTCTATTAGAATGTACTGACCAATTGTTTAGCAACACAAACCACCAAACTGAACAGCACTTTCCTCATTAAGCTTCCATATAATAATTTATAACTATAACTTCATAATTGTGTATATGAGGAAAGAATCAAAATGACAAACAATGACAGAACACGTTATTCAAAGTGAAAGACTGATTTCTTCCAGTCGGTAGTCAGGTGGACCATTGAAGTGTTGGATTGCCAATCACCTATTCTTCTAGTATGAATATGCAATCATAGTTCTCTTAAAACTAATGTATCTATTCTGGTATTTAAGTTACATGCAACGTCTATATTTGGCATGAGCGAGGTGACTGAGCTCCTGACCAATGTCAGGAATGCAATAACAGTTTATTCATTTAGCCCGGCTTCCAGACAATAAATATGTATTTGTTTTGTAATAACTCATCTGAATACATTTTATAGAAAGAGTTAGAAGTTTGAATTTTGTTCTACATTTTATTATGTGGTTCTCATGATAGCCGTATGAGACATGTAAAGACCAATGCACCACATGTATCTAACACTTGTACACTTAAAGTGCCCCTATTATGCAATTTGAAATGTTTATAATTTGGTTTTTGGAGTCCCTAACAACAGGTTTACATGCATGCAAGGTTAAAAAAAAAAAAAAAACCATGAGGAAGAGAAAGCCGTGAGACAGAGCTGGAAGCTACTAATGCTCATCAGTAAGTCAGTGGAAAATGAATGGAAATTATGATTCTTAGCTACGCGTTTAAAACAAAAACGCACGTGTAAACATAGCCTAAAAGATGTGGAAACTGAAAACAATTTGAACTTTATTAAAACTATTTGCTCGGATTAATTGTGTTGGTTACATTGTTCCTTTGTGCAATGGTTCAGGAGATCAGTCTTTGAGTCTGTAAAAACCTCAAGCTGAAAAAAATAAAACCAACGGTTTTTTTTTTGGATTGGTATCGAACATTTTTGAAGGATACCCAGTCCTATCCATGCCAGCTCCTGTTTTTCTATCACTAGAATTAAGACCGCTTAAATGAGAATTAAGATCTTTGTTATAGCCTTCTATAAAATAAAAAAAGAAATAACCTTAACTGTAATAAAACTGCATTAAAAATATTAAGACTACGTTCCCGTTAAAGAAACAAATGAACCCTTATGAAAATTAATCATGGTTTTTATTATACTAAAAGTGTACTAACCACAGCGTATTGACTACCATTTGTATAAATAGTTTTACTACAAATATCATGGTTAAACTATGGTTAGTGTAGCAAACTATAGTAACCATGGATTTTTTGTTTTGTTTTTATTTATTTATAGTAAAACCATGGTTAATTTTCTTAAGGGACACTCATACTTAAACCTGAATATGGAAGCCTGTGCGTAAAAAAAAAAAAAAATTCTATCAGGTAGAGGAAATTATGACGCAAGTTAATTTCTTGCACTTAAGAAATAAAAAAACAGCAGCTTAAAAATCACCCTTATAAATTATTATTAATATTAAAAACTTCCATGTTGACCAACAATCAAACAACAGACACAGTATTTAAGTCTTTGATAATAAACATTTCAGAAATTTGGAGTAGGCATTACATTTTAAAATATAAATTGTATAATAATCCCACTATTTTTAGTGCATTAATTGTTCTTCCTAATTTATGCAAAACAAACTCTACAGCGTTGCATTAGCTATTCGCTGTAGGGTCCCCAAGTAGACTAATTAACTTCACGTGCGAGCCAAACAACAAACCATTTAACTCCTGCCAAATTGTAACGTTTTATAAAGCATTTGAAATGTAAAAAAAATAAAACATAGCTACTACGTATCTGTGGTGACATTGGTCTTGTCGAACGAATCTCAAGTCGATTTCCTTTCAGCGAGCAAATATTCACGAGTAGCTACTTACTGACAACCAAGCGCGGATCCGAGTGCCGAGCGATGGAGAACTTTATCCAAAGGAGCTCATCCTCGCAATCAAACAACGGCTGATAGACGTCAGACACCATGACTGCATCCACATTCTGCTGATGTCCTTGATGAACGAATAAATGGGTTTTATGGCAACTTAGTCAAACAAAAGATCATTTTAAAATGACCAAAATATTTAAGTATTGTAAACAGCTAAACTTACTCAAGTACCGCCAAGTCACAGGTTCTCTGGGAAATTCCTCAAATGCATCAATTTGTGTGGGATTCGCACCATCTCGGCCCGCATTTCGCCATTTATCATTCAAGCTGGGGTCCGCACATGCATGGCACTCGAAAGTGTTTTCGATCATTGAGTCCTCTGCTGGATCACTTGAAGACGATGTAGTGTTGAGATACAGGCCTACTTTACAAACATCGTCGTGCGCATCATGGGTTCTCAAATACAACCTCTCCAAGTCTGTCGGAGACTGCTGTGCTTTGAGCGACTCGTGGGCTCGATTTGTATCAATTTTTGCATCTTCATCGATAAAGTGGGCTAATGTAAATAATACAAATTCCCAATTTATCCATAATGCTACCATTAACATCATACATCTCGCGTTCCACGTTATTTCAGGGCCGACCATGACATGTCACGAACCCAGATAACGTTTTGCAGAAAAAATAAATCAAGCCTCAAAAACCTCCGCCCTATAAGTGACCCGAATAACCAGGCCAAACGATTAGGCGCACACGGAGGGTCCTATTTATGCACTGCGCGGACCAATCAGCGATTGCCGTGATGCAACGCCGGTGTTAGAAAGTTTGGTCATTCTTCTTCTTCTTCTTCTTTTTTTTTTTTTTTTAAATCTAGTGCAATCCGTTTTCATATAATAGCCTACAATCTTTAATAAAAATGTATGGCTTAAATTTTCTGTTAGCCTATACAATTAGATTATTGTAGACTTGCTTATGAAAGCAGCACGAAGTTTATCATAGGATAATAATATAGGCTAATTGTTTGTCATTTAATGTCAGGCTACTTCGAGTTATTTTGCATCACAGGACAGAGTTCTTGCAGCAATATGCTGCAATCCAGCTAGACTTCTCTGTAATTTTTCAATGTTGTCTACATACATTTTATTGATTCATTTTAATGAATTAAAAATAAATGAACAAGGAATTTTTCGATGATTTGGAACCAGAAGGGCATAAGTGACATTTCACCACTTTTACAGGACGGCCAAAACAAAACAAAAAATACCATAGTTTGATCTGACTTTGTGTACTGATTTCAATTCTAATTTTAATATTATTATTTATTTATTTATTTTTAAGTCACTTGCGCCTTTTTGGCACCAATCTGGGCTCATCCGATGACAATATGACCAAAGCATTACATTGAGTTTAAAACAAATAAAAATCTCTGATAAAATAAAAAATCATATAAAAAGTCCTTATAGCAAATTAGTTAATTGAATGTGATTAATATTACTAACATAGTAATCCCAGGCACTTAACTATGTAGCCAAATGGGCGATTGAAAATCCTTTACAGATGCCTTCCCTAGTGTAAATAATTATATAAAAATGTATTTGAAATACATTTCTTTCATGCTAAGAATACTACAAATACATTTACATATTACTTAACTGGTATACTTAAAGTCTGCTAAATTGGAACAACTAAGTTTGTACTTAACGCACTTTAATTGTTAGAAAGTAGTGCTGAAGTCCAACTAAATATATGCTGAACTATATTTAATTGTGTTAAAAGTGGAACTATCGCAAGTATATTTTAGGTACACTTTAAATAGCTTGCAGTTAAATATTATTCAAAGATCATATACAATCCTCATCAAACACAGTGACATTAAAACACATTTTAGTCTTAATATTGAAAAATGTGCATTGTGCACTAGTACTCAAAATAAAGTTTAATTATAATTTTTATATTTTTATAGAATGATATGTGTTAGGCGTTGGCTGAGATAATCAAGCGCACGACGAAGGAGTAAAGTTCAAAAGGAGTTTTTAAATCATAAATCCAGGAGAATATTCACAAGTCCATAAACAAACAGTCACAAATGCTCAGCAAAATAAATCCAAATATAATAGCAGACGAAGAACTTAGGGAAAAACAGGACTTAAATACAGGGGAGAATACAATCAGGGAGAAACAGAACAGGTGTGTGGAACTAATTAACAAATGAAAAACCATAGGAACAAACGAGGGAACACAGGCAAACTGGAAAGCAGAGAAACCAAAACACAACAGAACAGAAACATGACAATTCGCCCCCTCCCGTAAAGGTGCGTCCTCGTGCTGACAAAGGCAGTCCAACAGAGGAGGGAGAGTGGGGGTTCAGGAGAGGTAATTGGAAAGGGGCATAGTTCATAAGGCCAGAGTGGAGTAGATGGATGGAGGAGCCAGGGAGAAGCCTGGAGCCAGGTGGGGAACCAGAGGCCAGCCAGGATAGCGGCCCATGGTGGAGTCGACGGTGGAAGGAGCCATGGTGGAGATGGGGTCGACAACATCAGGGGGCTGACTGACAGAGACAGAGCCGGTGGAAGAGGAGCCCGGGATGGAGACAGAGAGCCGCAGATCCAGGGTGACACAGAGGATCCGGAGGGCCAAGGTGGAGCTGGCGGCTCAGGCAACCGAGGCAGAGGCGGGGATCCGGAAGCCCGCGGTGGAGCCGGAGCGACAGAGGACCAAGGTGGAGCTGGAGGGAAGGAGGAGCCAGACAGAGCCAGAAGGATGGAGGGACAAAGCGAAGCCAAAGGAGTGGAATCCTGAGGCGAATGATGGCCGACAACTGACCAAGGCGGAGCCAGAGGGACGAGCGAGCCCGGTGGAGCCAGTGGGATGATGGGCCACAGTGGAGACGAGGGAGCAATGAGCCAAGGCGGAGCCAATGGCTCAGAGGGCTGAGGTGGAGTCCAGGTCTTGGAGGCTGGAGGAGGAGACGGGGGATCCTCCAACCCTGAGGTAGCTGGAAACTGAAGATCCCGAAGCTCATCCGATCCAACGGTTTTGGTGTGCTGAGGGTAAGCTGAGGTATCTTCAGTGGCCAGCTGACACAGGGCCAATGGGCATAAAAACTGTAACATTTAATCTTATGCCGATTCAGCGTTGTTTAAAAAGGGGGAAGAATTTTTAAGAAAAATAAGAACTAAATGAACATGTGAAGGATTATGTATTTGATTAAGTGTACCATAATAGTCAAACAGAAAGGGTCAACAGATAGCCATAAAAAAAAGAGATAAGAATGAACAGAAAAATAACATAAGTGAACCAATAAGCAATAACTTCGTGTTCTCTTTATAGGAGTAAAAATAGAAATATTGTGCATGTATATTGAACTCTGCTGAGAGCTGACTGTACTGAATAAAACTGAGGGATGGAAAACTTCATCTTGCATTAATTCATTTTCAGTTTTTCACCAGAGTTATGTTTTTGTTGTTGTTGGAATGCCTTAGAGATGATTAATTTATCAAATATTTGTTGAACAAAATTTGATATGTTTCATCTTTTACAAATTTGCAGTTCTATATATAGTTTTGTAATTGTTTTTATATTCATTTAAAACAGTCAGGTTCCCATTGTGAAAACTTACCCCATATGATATCAGAATGTTTGGGGAGTTAACTGCTTTCATGTAGATATTCAGTAGTTTTATTGTTACTGCCCAGTCATACACAAAAGCTGTCCTGGTCTTGCCTAAATTGTAATATCTTTTTCCTTATGGTTTTGCAGATTTAATGCTCTTGTTTAATAAATTAACTTGATATTTTGTATCGTATTTCCCCACAACACGCACACAAATAACATTGTACTTGACATGTCTTTCCAATTATTACTTGACTGGGCACTCGACCCATTTGTTCAGTGTGATATGAAAATTAACAGCTCAATGTTGCACCTTTTCAGTGCATGTAACACTTGGCTACAGCAAAAGGTTTTTCTTAGTAAAGTCCTTTGAGAGAAGTCCAATGACAAAGGGTCTGGGTTTATCATAGTATGTGCCTGGGGAAAGTTTCTGACATTGGGGGATTAGAGCAAACTCCGTGCCAATCCAAGCCAAAGTTTTATCTGGTGACAGCTGTGTTGACTCTCTCTTGGGACAGACTTCTTTTTTTTTTTTTTTTGCAGACTACTGCATTTTGACTTCTACAAAGTGAGAATTTGCATTTTGTCTCCTCTTGTTGCTCTTATAATTTGCTTGATATAAAACAGCTTTAAAGTGGAGGTTGAAGAAGAGTGATTTTAATAGGCTATAGGTTTCGTTGTTCATGATTCATTGATGAACTCTCACACATGACCTTCAGCTAAGCACTGCTGACATGCATGTGAGGCTGCTACTGTACCTAGACAAACAGAAAATATGTAAATTAATGTAAGCAAATAAGATACAGTGTAAATTAAAAGTTTAAAATGTACTAGAAAAACATATTTCAGATAAGGACTTCCCAACAAGGGGTTTGCGGTCATGTAGGAATTCATGAGGTCATGAACTGCCAGAATGAAATATAATTAAACAAAATGATCAAAACTGAACAAAAAATCAGTTGCTTAATAATTTTCAAATTTTTGTCAAGTCATTATGTTTATTGAAAGGTTAGTGTTACTACAGGGGGTACTTAAAACAAATAATAGGTATTTGGCTGACCAAAAAAAAATAAAATTGGCAATCCCTGGTTTAGATAAACTTACCAGAAGAGATCACTCAGCCAGCCATGACATGCTTTATAAAAGCTTGGATAAAGAAAACCAAGATTAATTTCAATGAGAAACTTCATGTCATTAATTTTGTCAATAGAGGGAAGTCTTGAGTAACTGTTCTTACCTTCATAGTTAATACAACCATTTGTGTCCTCCTGCCCTGCCAGCAACCGATCCACTTCACCCTCAGACAGTCTCTCACCTGGAATTGAGCCAATGAGCAAAATGAAAATCACTATCATTATTGTTCTTTTTTTTTTTTTTTTTTTTACAAGATTATACATTTTAAGGTCTCAGTGTTTTTAACATTTGAACACAACCAATGGTCAAATATATATTTTTTGGATTTGGCACATTTTCCCTCCTTGATTCCATACCCAAAGTAGCAAGCACATGGCGGAGTTCAGCCCCCATGACTGTTCCATTGCCTTCTTTGTCAAAGACCCTTAGGCCTTCCGCAAAATCTTCAAATGTGCTCCTTTCAGTAGACTTTGAAACTTGTTGAAACATAGGCAGGAATGTCTCAAAGTCGATCAGTTTGGATTCCATCTCTGGATGACACAATTTAAATACAGCAATCAGTAAATTCTTGCATTTTTTGACAATCTGAGATAAACATTCTTTAGAGGGAACATTTCAAATCCAAACATCCTCCACTGACTTTATTTGAATGACTTTTTTCCACAAAGGATCTTCTTTTGGGTTTCATGCCAGAAATAAAGTCATACAAGTTTGGAACAACATGAGGATGAGTGTGAACTATCCCTTTAAGCTTTCATAGCTCAATTTACAAAAAGTAAATGTTATATTTAGTTAGTGTCCTTTGTCACCATGAGCATTTTTTGCTTATACAATGTTGTGTTGATGTGTCCTAATGCATTCCTGTGGATGGAACAACACTTTGAC